AAAAAAAAAAAAAAAAAAAAAAAAAAAAAAAAAAAGCTATTACAAAACATAGTGGATGATTATTTTATGGGAAAATCATAGTATAAATACGCATTTTTTCAATTATTAAAGTTTTTAACTCTAACTATTTGAAGTATTAGTTTAGAAAATTTTCGAATATTTTGCATTCAAATTGTTTTTTTTTCAATTATTGAAAATTTGATAGCGTAAGAAAATTAAACGAAATTCAGATTGATTTGCTTTGTTTTGCTACACTAATAAATGGCTTGAAAAATTGTTAAACAAATGAAGGAATTAAGTATGACAATCAGAAAAGGTTGATAATTTTTTTTTTTTTTGAAAATAAATAATGATCGATCGCAATTAGCAATATTTATACTTTCAAACTTTCACAACAATAGAAATTTTTTCTCACTTTTTCCTTCTTTTTCTCACTAATCTTCGCATTCAAGAAAAATATTTTTAATTATTATAATTCATTAATTATTCCTATTATTCATTATACAGCAGTTATTATGACATTAATTTGCTTACAATATGATTTTAAATGGATTTCTTTTCGGAATTTATTTCTGCTACAGTAAATAGAAAAAGTAAAAAGTTTTACAAATAATTCATATACGGAAAGATATATTTAATTAATTCATTTAAATTATGAATTTATTTAGAGATATAAAAAAATTCCCTTTGTTTTTCATGCTGTTTAATGATTTTACGAGAAAGTGAAAGAGAGAAATAATAGCTCAAATTCAATGCAATATAATTTAATATTATATAATTGATATAACGTATATAAAATATAACTAATCATTTAATATTTATTTCGTAAAATATATACTTAGTTTTTATTTATACAAGTAAATGATATATCGTCAATTTTTACATATTCCCGGTGATATATTATGATTTCTATACATTAGATATTGCAAAATTGCTAATATGAATAAATGGTGAGTAATTTTTATCGAAATTATTTAATTCCAACAAACTAATTCGTAAAAAATCTGAAGCTGAAAAAAAAATCATTTGAAAAAAAATTTTTTATATGATTAATAAATTTACTTCATATTTGCTCTTTTATTTAGCTTATTCACTATAAATTAAATATTATTCATTTTATTTTTATTGAAAATTTCAAAAAATTTTCCATCCACCTTCCAAATTAACTAACATTGAAAATCTTACTAATTTTTATTTTTGTCACAACTATTTTTTTTAGAAAATTTTAAGCAAGAAAATGAAATTACGGAGCTTTTTTTTTTCAATTATTAAAATTTTTGAAATTTAATCAAAATTTTTCGCCAAAGATAATTTAGCAGATCACGTGCTTCTTCGATTATCCGATTTTGCGGACGATCCACCAATTTTTATCACTGTTCGTACAAGAACAAAAGAAGGTGCCGTATCATCAGATTCAAACGTTTGCCGTGTACCACGTGGTATTACCAATACTATCGAACTTACAAATCGTACCACAACATTTGGCATGCAATCAAATCCCTTGAATTTGGTACAGACAATACCGGCTACCGGTACACGATCTTCCTTGGTATGGTATTATTCGACATTCATTTCATTTTAATCAACATTTCAATTCTTAATTTAATCATATCAATGATATGATACTCTGAGAAATTATATGGAACATACATTAATTCTCATAAAAATGATTATACTATACTTTTTTTGTATTTATTACTTTAAGTTTTGCAATTTATACTTAAAATTTTAGTTATTTACCATTTATATGTGAAATTAAAGAAAAAGGAAAGGAAATAATTAATCTTATTACAAATGGAGAAATTTTTTTAAGATTTTTCAAAACTGTATGTAATCAACAACTAATCATTAATGCTTTCTCTCTCTCTATCTCTCTCTCTCTCTCTCTTTGTCTCTCTTTTCCTCTCAATTTCCAATAAAAATATAAATAAATTATGCGCACATTATACACATTCATAAAAGAAAGGGAGAAATTTAGCTTGAAATTGTTAAAATCAATATTATTAAGGCAATGTTAGCTTCATTGAAATATACGCCATTACTATCACCGCTATCATCATCCATCCTAAATTATTCCAATTTTCAACAATATATTATTTAATTTCAAATTATGATTTGATATTATTATCTTTAAAAAAAATTAAACAATATTAACAAATAATATCTCTTTTTCTCCTCTCTCCCTTTTTAAATTATAAATAATTAATAATTAGTTTGATTTTAAACACTTCAATAATAAGCAAAAAATAAAATTAAATTGAACAAAAAAAAAAAAAAAATTGCATATATTTTAAGATATCATCACTTGTACCAATGAATATTTCCGGTGGACAAACATCAATTATGGCAGCAACAACAACAACAACAACAACAACAACAACAAC